TGGCTGTTTGTATTTCCTGGCGAAGATGGACCATGTTCATAGGTGCAACAACTTTCTTCGAAGCTCCGTATGTTGCCATAGGTTGCACCAATGTATTTTCAGTGTAGGCCGAGAAAATAAATAAAGCCACGAAAAATTAATTCTTCGTCAAATATGTGTTTGATTTATTAATTATGTATGTATACACATATACAAATGTAAGGTGAATACGAAATATTACCTGTATGGTGTGTGATGAAGGGTGGTGGCTGATAGGCGTCCGTGCTCTATTAAGTGAAAAACTGGAGTGCCCGCGCTATTTGTTGACAGATTTAGCCGAACCCTCAAACAGCGAGATGTGCTGAGGGGAAATTTGGCTAATTCGTTATAATAATTGGCGGGAAAAATAATGCAATTATTTATATGCTCATATTCGTATGTATGTATATATCGGTGTGTGTATGCACATGAACATTAGGGTGGTTCACCCTTTTCAAAGTTTGGTTTAGTCTAGTGGTCTAAACAAACAAGGAGTTATTTTCTTAAACTTATTTTATATTAAAAAACTTTATCTATTAATCTTGTAAAAATGTATTCTATTGTTTTTGTATGAAAAAATATTAGAAGATAAATAATCCTGTAAAAATTCATGCGTTTTGTGAAAAAAAATTCAATAACTTTGAAAAATCTGCAAAATCTATATACACGTACTCGATACCTTTCCGATACTGAGTAGGTATCGATACCTTGTTTGATACAAGTACAAGTACTGATTTGAGGAATACCTTGATGGTATCGATTTATCCCCTAGCGTCAGACCACATTATACAAGTAGAAAAGGTTTTTGTTTTTGGAGCTGTTTCGTGGTGAAAGTCCTTTATGGGGGCCAAATTTCTCCACAAGAAATTGAGCGCATGGTTGCTTTTGCAGTCCAAAAGAACGAATATTAGAAAACAGTGAAAAAAAGTCTGAGATAATACAAGTATATTCTACTAAAATAAACACGATAGTGTCCTCTAATTAGATAATGTGATAATCATGCTTAAAAACTCTTATCAACTCTTATTTTTCAGAAAATAATATTGCGGATCAGAATGCTCTGAGCGCTTGTGTCGTTTACCAAGAAAATGCAGCCCTGTCGGTTTTTATATCTGTATCACATCGCGGTGAGTTTCTATTTCTTGGTAATTCGGTTTGTGAAATGGTAAACAAATTATTGAAATTTATTTATTTGATGGGTTTAACATTTGATTAATGCAATTTTCTGTCTTTTCAGACTATTACATATTTACAAGCACAGTATCATCAACGGTGATTGTAAGAACTACTGCAATCCCTGCGGTTTTTCCTCTGTTAAATGCGTTCTGTAGTGCGATGCCCATTTTTCTTAACGACCGATATTCGTTATTGATAATGAACGGCGTTTTAGCTTGCAGTAGCGAATAGGCTATTCTCAAAAACACACTTAACGACAGAATTCGTTAGACATGTCGATAAAGAAGATTACAACGATTGTCGTTAATTAAAAAGCCAAAATTGGTCTCATGAAAAGATCATGTATGTAAGTACCTAGGAAGAAGATATAAAACACTAGTGTATAGGTCCATAATAGAACACACACTTCATGTATTGTCCAACGATCTTTTTCATGGCAAGCAATACAAAAATCGACAAGTTACAAAAAATGCAAAACAGAGCAATGCGATTTATACTGAATAAGCGTCACGATGCACCCACACGAGAGATGCTCGCCGATATGAACTGGCTGAGTGTTAAGCAGCAAATTTTTTGTCATGCCATGAAATTCGTATTCAATATAAAGAATGGTCGGTTACCGGACTACCTGAGCGACAATCTCAGATATATAAATGAAACTCATTCATACATACTAAGGGAAAATGATAGCTTTAGATTGCCGTTATATAGGACAGAAGTGGATAAAATGAACATATTCTACAAGGGATTAAAGTATTTTAACGAACTACCGCCACAAACAAGAAATTGTGAAAGCATTGCCAGCTTCCAGAGATCATAACTTGATCACTGTCGAACACTACCTATCAGATAGAGGCTAGGCATGGAAACAAATCCTTTTCATCCGGCAGAGTTGCTCTGGATCCAATCCACTCAGACAGCTTGCTGAATCTGCAAATCTTGACAGAGTCGAAACACCAATCCCCGAAGCACCGTCCTCCTACCCTATCAAACAGTGCTGCTCTGGATCTAGTTCATTCAGACAGCGTGTATAACATGGAAATCCTCATCAAACCGAACCAACAACATGAGAAGTGAGGGTGCACATTGGAAACTAGTCCTTTCCAACTGCCCAAACAACTGAAGCTACAATATGAGAAGTAAAGGTGCAGATTGAAAACTAGTGCTTCCCAACTGCCCTAACAACTGAATCTGCAATGTGAGAAGAGAGGTGCAGATTGGAAACTAGTCCTTTCCAACTGCCCTAACAACTGAAGCAATAATATGAGAAGGGAAGGTGCAGATTGAAAACTAGTGCTTTCCAACTGCCCTAACAATTGTGGCAATAATATGAGAAGGGAAGGTGCAGATTGGAAACTAGTGCTTTCCAACTGCCCTAACAATTGTGGCAATAATATGAGAAGGGAAGGTGCAGATTGGAAACTCGTCCTTTCCAACTGCCCTAACAATATGGCCTGGAAGTTGTTTTTCGTCAGACTACTTGCCTAATTTGCCTGCTCTGCCGTATGATTGGGAGCTGCAATTGCGTTTTCTGGGAATTTCCGACCTTGTACTCGATTATTCAAATAAATTGAAGTGGAAGGTCGGAACTTTTGGAGGAGGCAATTGCATATTTTTATTCAAGCGGCCTAATATAGACATTTGTAATATAATATATATAGTTATTGTATACACAATTTGCAATAAGAACATTAAAATTCATATACATATGTACGAATATCATAGTTGTATTATTAGGTCGTAAGATTGTAACAAATATATAAATAAAATAAATGAATAAATAAATATGGCAATATTGACGTTTGACACTCAATATTTTAAAGAAACTTGTTATTGTTGCGCGTATTATTGTGTCGGGATTGTTGTTTGTGAATACAATATGAAAAATAAGAGCAGGAGCTACTACGGAGCAGTACCATAGGATGCTGGACTGCTTATTTGGCAATAACGGCCTCGTGCAAGGCAAATTTAATAAGGGGTATACCCTGTAAAAAATTACAAATTATACGCACAATTACAGTATGAATTACAACAAACACATCATTTTGACATTATGCTTTCCACGTCTAAAAATTCAGCTTTGGCTCTAGTTTTCGACGTAAGGATACTTGAAAATTTCCTTAAATTTAAAGTTTTTTTTATAAATAACTCCAACAAAGTCCGTTAAAGTCATATTACCAAACTTTTTCACGTGACTATTTTTTAATAAAATAGTCATGTTAAACATTTTATTGAAACAACACTAAAACTGATTTATTTACAAACAAGTTAAAATTTAATCGAAAACTGGAGCCAATCTTACAAAATTTAGAATGGCCCAATTAAGTGAGATCAACTTTCAAAACCTTTGCCAATGTTTTCAACTTGCACAGTGTAATAATCAAAAGGAACAATAATAAAAAGCACATCTATATGTGATAAATTTTTATTTATTAGTTATTTTTTATTATAATAGTTTGCTTACCGATGAATTTGGCCTAATTTTTCTCAATAAAAACTTGAAACAATTTTATCGGTATGCTTTTCAACGACAAAATATTCGTGTATAGGTGTGTACTCGTATTGAGAGGACAAAATTCTCCAGCAGCAAAAGTTCTGAGAATTTAGCAGCATTCGCTCTCAAAGAGACGAAATATCAACAGAAGTACGAGAACGCAAAATTTGCAAAAACTTGCAACCTTCGAAACAGCTGATCACTTGCACAGTTGCCACTGGTGATTAATTTCTCAATTTATTTTCTGTTTGGTACATTTTCCCCCGATTTGGCATTTGATACAACTGAATAGTTTTCGATAAGAAAAAACTTTTTAAAATACAAATTAATTATATCGGAATGAATAAGTTATTTTTCTCATAATTATTTGTGATATCACATGGTGACGCATTCAAAAACAAGAGTATCTCCTCCAAACACCCATCATTGATCCAAAAAACAATGTAATAGATATAGCTACAGATGTAGCTTTAAAATTATAAAATTTTCATTTCAGCAATCAACCTACCAAAACCGAAAACTTCAGCAAAACAACATTTCAGCATGCTGCATTTAAATCTATTTTGGTATATTTAAAGGTAAATTATGGTACAAACGAAAAATGTCATACGGCAACCATAGTCAGCACACACTAAAGTAAGCAATCTGGAGATTAATAGCAAATTAGCGAAAAATAAACAGCAAACGTTGTGCATATTAAATTTACTCATTTTTTCGTTGTATACTAGCATTAATAATAAAATTTGCAATAAATAACTCAAAAAGTCCATATTTTCTTACTTGCAAGTTTTAGCTGGGAAAAATTTTTCCAGCAGAAATTTGCAGCTCTCTTTCACATTTTGCTCTCTCAATTTCCCCTACTTTGCAAGTTTTTTGGGTACAAGAACCCGAAACCAGTAAAAGTTTTCTAAAACTTTAGATAGGTGGGCGTACGAATACAGTCCTAATATTACATAGTTACATCCCAAGTAAGGCATCTAGTACCGGGGTTCGGGATCTCGAATCCCGGTTGTCCCGAGCCCTTTTTTGAGTCCCGAAATACCGGAATCAAGCCCTCGGGATCCCGGGATATAATTTAATTTACGACCAAATTAGAAAAAACGACATTTACACACTGTAATGGCATATAGAATTATAAAATGTAACCCTACAAATAATCAAATAATATATTACAATTCTAACACTACTATTATTCTGTGTTATAATATACACATATATGAGACATTCTTTTTCATATCGGACACCAAATTTGGTGTCACAATTCCGATTGGCTTCACATTTTTCCTTTTTTCTTCGGATATATGATCTGTAAAATTTTGGACTTTTTCATGATTCGGACTAAATAATTATGTACTTCTTCAAATTGTTATATCTCGGGTTCTGTTCATCGTAGAGACTTCATTGTTGAATAGTTCTTGTAGTAAAAAATAGTTCTTGAAAAACTCCCATATTTTTGAAATATGTTTTTTAAAGAGAATTAAACAAGAACTACGATGGTGTAATTTTAAATCCAAAATTAACTGGTCTTTACTATACAAATCAATTGTAAAAAGTTCCACTGTTAATAGCTAAGTTACCTTTAGGACAATTATAACCATCATATAAAAAGCCTTTTCCTTTAATTTCAAAACGTTAAGACGAAGTCGCTACGATGAGTAGAGCCCGAGATATACCGATTTGAAGAAGTGCATGAATGATCAGAATCACGAAAAAACTCGAACTTTGACAGATCATATCTCCGAAAAAATAAGAAAAAAGAAATTCCTCGAGTACGTGTTAGCTTATTCCATGTATAGAACCCATACAAAATTTGAAGCGAATCGGAGACATGAAATCATTTTTTGTTTTTACGAAATCCGCCTGACTTGTATGTACATGAGTATATCGATGGCTGAGTGGAAGATCGACCTATCTCGGCAGCCAGTTCGAAAACGCCCTATCCCTGAAAATTTTTCAACAACGCTCTAGNACTTTGACAGATCATATCTCCGAAAAAATAAGAAAAAAGAAATTCCTCGAGTACGTGTTAGCTTATTCCATGTATAGAACCCATACAAAATTTGAAGCGAATCGGAGACATGAAATCATTTTTTGTTTTTACGAAATCCGCCTGACTTGTATGTACATGAGTATATCGATGGCTGAGTGGAAGATCGACCTATCTCGGCAGCCAGTTCGAAAACGCCCTATCCCTGAAAATTTTTCAACAACGCTCTAGCTCAGAAAACTTTTCAAGAACGCCCTATCTCAGAATTTGGTTGAAGAACGCCCTATTCCAGCTGCCGATTCAAAAACGCCCTATCTCAGCTTATTTTCAATGTATTCTTGTTGAGATAGGGCGTTTTTGAACCGAATCCTGAGATAGGGTGTTCTTCATATTCTTAAGAAAAGTCTTTGGGGAATTTGTATGCTGCTACAACAACAACCGTTCCCACGACAGTCGGGTCTACGTAACCGGAACGACCCAGATTTATATCTGGCCAAGGACTGTCACTCCAGCAACACTCCCCAAAAAGTCTTTGGGGAATTTGTATGCTGCTACAACAACAACCCTTCCCACGACAGTCGGGTCTACGTAACCGGAACGACCCAGATTTATATCTGGCCAAGGACTGTCACTCCAGCAACACTCCCCAAAAAGTCTTTGGGGAATTTGTATGCTGCTACAACAACAACCGTTCCCACGACAGTCGGGTCTACGTAACCGGAACGACCCAGATTTATATCTGGCCAAGGACTGTCACTCCAGCAACACTCCCCAAAAAGTCTTTGGGGAATTTGTATGCTGCTACAACAACAACAATAGGGTGTTCTTCAATAAAATTCTGAAATAGGGCGTTTTTGAATCAAATTCTGAAGTAGGGCGTTCTTGAAAAGTTTTCTGAGATAGGGAGTTTTCGAACTGGCTGCCGAGATAGGTCGATCTTCCACTCAGCCATCGATATTGAGTGGTGGAAGAAATAATAGAAACTTTTTACTTTGACCAGTTTTGGCTATATTACTTTGTTTATTCGATGTTTAATATTTTTGTATAAAAGCCTAGCGCAATATATAACACACACCATATAAATCCACATTTCAAAGTTTGTACAAAAATTATAAAAACTTAACACATTTTATCAAAATCCCCCAAAAATTTCCAACTTTTCAATCAGATTTTTTTGAAAAATTGGGTATGCAGTATTATAGCCCATTAAATTTTAGTAGGTAAAACTGGTTGATTTTTAATAATTTATTTGGCTGGCGGTGTTGTGCATTTTCTTCCATATAAAGTATGCTCGACCATGCTCAAAATTTCTTTTTATATGGAAGGAAATGCTTGGCAGCGTCAGCAAAAAAAAAAAGGTTAAAAATCAATGCGCTAAAAATAATGGGCTATGAAACTTCATACCCAAAATTTTTCAAAAAAAATCTGATTAAAAAGTTTGAAATTTTTGGGGGATTTTGTTAAAATTTGTTGAATTTTTGTACAATCTTTGAAATATGGACTTATATAGTGTGTGTTATATATTGCGCTAGACTTTTATACAAAAACATTAAACATCGAATAAACAAAGTAATATAGCCAAAACTGGCCAAAGTAAAAAGTTTCTATTATTTCTTCCACCACTGTATATACATATGTTGTGGCATACTAACCCTACAAGACATTGCTGAGCACTTTAGGCAAAAATTCTCACACATTTACACTTTTGTTTTTGTAGTACGGCATAAATGAGTAGTTTGACTATTAGTACTGAGGACTTTCTGATGACAACATTGAGGGGAAAGTACTCAATTTTTTCCCATGGCCTGAACGAAAATGAGGACTTTGATAAGCACTTTTGTGATTAGGGATAATGATAATATGAGTACTCATATGATACTCAGCTGTCTTGTAGGGTAATATTACTAGACATATGTATACACTCTTATTTTTTACTTTTCGTAAAAACAACTGCGACTGCAATATGAATGAATTTCAACTCCATAGTTTTTAGTTTATTAAGTTTGTAATCAGCTTTTTAAACTGATATAAAAAAAGATGTTTATATTTCTTTGCTTAAAACCACAAATTTATTTTTATTTTATTCGCATTAAAGGAAGACTACAAAACTAGTTTGTTAGCATATTATAAATAATGGTAATAATATCCCGAAATATTCCGGGATCCCGGGATAACCAATCTAAGATCCCGAAAGCCCGGGATTCACAAAATGGTCCGGGATTGGATGCCTTAACCCCAAGCTAATAAAAGCCAGGTAAAAATATAACCATTAAATAAACATTAGAAAAATAGCCAAAACTAGTCAAAATGCCACTTGACTTAATCAGCTGACCACGAATGTACATATATGCTTGCAAGTGTTCTAATTTTGACAGTGCGAATTTCGCTGTGGTGAGTTCGCCGGGCGCCGGCATTGTGTTTCGTGTCTCCTGAAGAAATCCGATTTGTGAGTAATATTTATGTTTCGTATATTGTTATTAAATCTTCAGGGGTGATTTGATAACCAGTAACTGGACAGGTCATACGGCTTTTCAAATGTGAAATTATACATTTCCAACAGTATACATATCCCGAAACGCTACATGCAGTTGGAGTTGTTATTTTCGTAAGACATACGGGACAATCGCCTTTGCGGTATTTTTCCCTCTTATCGATAGAACTCTTGAGAGGGTTTGGATTTTTTAATGATCCACCCATTTGATGACGATGATCGTTAGAATACCACCAATGAATGAATTGCAGAAAAAATGCTAACACCTCCAGAATTTTAAGAAAGATGTAAGTTGTCCTATCATTCGGCGGTTCAATAGGGTATCGCAAGGTCAAACTTAGTGCTCGGAAAATTGACGAGTGGCTGGAAGCGTATTTTATAAGATACAGGAATGTATGTACTGCTTTGGACGCATGATATATATTTAAAATTTTCAGTAGCTGTCGCTGCCAAATAAATGTATCATGCTGTGCACTGCGTGCTTTAAGCTTTCGTTCCAAGTAAGGCAAAAATGTGACAATACCGGCAGATATCACTTGCTGTCGATGCGTGATAAGTTTATCCGATTCTAAAGATATGCGTTGTAAACCGTAGAAACTCTCTCCAAATGACGAGCCCCGATTTCGCAAATATAAGTACTGTAGGGCCAAGGTTAAAACAGAAGAAACTTCTTCACTTAGTCTGTATGCACCGAAAAGTTTGAAGTCCAATCGAAAATAAAGGTAGTTAATTATTTTACTCAGTGCTGGGTAGATAAGTGTGTCCAATGTTTCAGCCGCTCTTATTTCGAAAATCGATGGCACATTTTGCAAATTTTGCCGTAAATTCGCATTTTCCGACATAATTAGAAGGAAATTAGAACCTCAGTACATCCAGTAAAAAAACTGTGGTGAAGTCCTTTATGGGATAAAGTTTCCAGAGGTGAAATTTTAGGTAGCACACAATTTCTTACATGCATGGTTGCTTTTCAGCACTGATGAAAGAAACTTAAGAAATATTTGAAAAAAAGTTCATATAGTACATTAATTTTGAAAGAAATACCATATAATGTATGTACTCTGGTTAATAATATCAAAAAATGTATTAGAACCACCGTTTAATGTTATATTTAATACAAATTAATATTGCTGCCCCGAACGCTCTGCGCCTTGCCACTGAATAATAGATTTACTTAAAATTACATCCCTGGTCCTTGTTCTTTCTGTATCGCATCGTGGTGAATTCACATTTCTCAGAAATTTGACAACAAAACAAAACAAAGCGAGTATTTTATTTGCTAATTTTTGCGATTTCTATTGTTTAATGTAAATTTGTCTTTTTAGGATATGTCGAGCCAACAAAGAAGGCGCAGTTGGAAAATTTAGTAATTAGTAATGAAGTAGCAGGCATATTTGAAAAATTATGCCGATAAACAGGATGGAATTTGGGAAAGTAAGTGCATTGTTGCAGCATATCTATGTATAAAAAGTATTTAATTAAATTGTTTATAGAAATGTTATAAATCGAGTGGCTCATTTACGA